AATGATTTTTGGAAATATTATTTAAACTGCAAATGTCTACAATAAAGTCAAATATCTTTGTAAAATTCACTTCCGGTCGCGTGATTTCCTATCCTCAAAATGAGAAGTTATCATAGCTAGAATCTTGTAAAAGGTAAGGGATTAAGACACCAAACTTAGAAGATTGGTAGATCTTGATGAGTAGACAAAACCACTGGGAATAAGATTGTCCGCCGTCACTTCCGGTCGTCACAGGAAGTGATCCAAGTAATCGAAAATTTCAACTTTTCTTTTAGGAAACTTTTTTGCATCACATTAAAGCATATTATGTGTAGTTTCAAAATATATCAGTCCCACCGGAAACAAAAACGACAACTTCCGGTTATGAGAAAATCTACATAATTTGAGTATTTTCTTTCCCGTAAATACTTTTTATAGATAAAGTATTTGTAATGATTTTTAGATATGTTATTTAGACTGCATATGTCTACAATTACGTCAAATATCTTTTTGAAATTCACTTCCGGTCGCGTGATTTCCTGTCCTCAAAATGAGAAGTAATCATAGTTAGATCTCGTAAAAGGTAAGAGATTAAGACACCAAACTTAGAAGAGTGGTAGATCTTAATGAGTAGACAAATCCATTTGGTATAACATCGTCCGCCGTCACTTCCGGTTGTCACAGGAAGTGATCAAATAAATAAAAAATTTCAACTTTTCTTTATGGAATATTTCTTAGTTATTCATTATAGCATCTTACTTGTAGTTTCGAAATATGTCAGTCACACTGGAAATAAAAACGACAACTCCCGGTTATAGGAGAAAAACTACATAATTTGAGTATTTTTCTTTCCCATCCAATTTTTTTATAGATAAAGTATTTGGAGTGATTTCTGGATATGTTATTCAGACTGCAAATGTCTATAAATACCTCAAATAGCTTTGTAAAATTCACTTCCGGTCTTGCGATTTTCTGTCCTCAAAATAAGTTATCACAAAGAGATCTCGGAAAGGGTAAGAGATAAAGACAACAAACGTGTATGAGTAGTAGATCTTGATAAGTAAGCAAATTCATTAGGGTTAACTTCGTTTGCCGTCACTTCCGGTCGTCACAGGAAGTGATCAGAGAAATCAAAAATTTCAACTTTTCGTTTTGGAAAACTTCTTGGCATCACAATATTGCATCTTATTTGTTGCTCCGATATATGTCCGTCCCACCAGAAAAAAAACGGCAACTTCCGGTTATGAGAGAAAAACTGCATAAATTGAGTATCATACTATCCCATAAATATCTTTTATAGAATTTTATTATATAGAATATTATAAAAATGAATTTAGGACATGTTATTCAGACTGCAAATGTCTAGAGTAACTACAAATATCTTTTAGTTAAATTAACTTCCGGTCGCGTGATTTCTTGTCCTCAAATTGAGAACTTATCATAGAGAGATTTCGGAAACAGTTAGAAATTAAGACAGCAAACTTATAGGACTGGTAGATCTTTATGAGTAGGCAAATCCGCTTGGGATAAGATCGTTCACCATCACTTCCGGTCCTCACAGGTAGTGATGAAATGAATAAAAAAATTCAACCTTTCTTTTTAGAATCATACTTGGCATTACATCATTGCATATATTCGATGTTTCGAAATATGTCAGTCCCACTGGAAACAAAAACAGCAACTTCCGGTTATGAGAGAAAAACTGCATAAATTGAGTAACAAAGTACCCCATAATTATCTTTAATAGGAAGAGTATTTGAAATGATTTTAGGACATGTTATTCAAACTGCAAATGCCTAGAGTAACTTCAAATACCTTTATAAAATTTACTTCTGATCACATGATTTCCTGTCTTTAACTAAGACGTTAACATGGCGAGATCTCGGAAACAGTAACAGATCAAGATACTTAACTTAAATGAATAATAAATCTTGAAGAGTGGTCAAAAGATATAGGATTAAAGGCGTCCGCCGTCACTTCTGGTCGTCATTTTTATCCCCCCCCCCCTTTTCTTGTCATCAGGATTACCCAGAGATGGCTGGACGGATTTTCTTGAAATTCTCATGGATGATAGAGAATGATAATACGCTTCGACGTTTTCTTCATTTTTTTCAAATTTCACTTCCGGTCGTCAGATTTGTCCGATTTCCGTTTTTTCAAAGATATTTTGTCTCAATCATATCTCAGGAACGGTAAGAGATTACGACACCAAACTTATAAGAATAATAGATCTTGAGAAGTAGGCGAGCCCATTTGGGTTAAGATTATTCGCCGTCACTTAATGTCTCCACAGGAAGTGATCAAAGAAATCAAAAATTTCAACTTTTCACTTTAGAATCTTTTTTTCATCACAGTTTTGCCTCCTATTTGTAGTTTTGAAATATGTCAGTCTTACTGGAAACAAAAACTGAAACTTCCGATTATGAAAGAAAAACTTCATATTTTGAGTATTATACTATCCCAATATCTTTTAAAATATTTTGTAAAATTCACTTCCGGTGACGTGTTTCCTGTCCTCAAAATGAGAAATTATCATAGAAAGAACTTGAAAACACCAAGAGAGTAAGACACCAAACTTATATGAACTAGAGGTACTGTGAGCGATCAGCTCCCTCCATATAGTTATAATTGCCAAGTTCATGTTTTGCTGTAGCCAGGAAACCCAAAATATGTGTCGGATCAAAAAGTTAAATAAGAGGTGCACAATGGCAATATGTAATAAAGATTCTGTGAAAGTATCTTTTACAGATAAAGCATTTGAAATGGTTTTTAGATATGTTATTCAGATTGCAAATGTCCGATAACATGTCAGATATCTTTGTAAAACATACTTCCGGTTGGTAATTTCCTGTCCTCAAAATGAGAAATTCTCTTAGCGAGACCTCAGAAACGATAAGACAATATTAAGGCCTATATGAGGCCTATATGAGTAATCATTTTGAAGAGTATGCAAAAGATGTAGTTCTAAACGGGAAAGCCGTCACTCAGGTCGTCAAAGGAATGGAAAATTTCAACTTTTCTTTTCTCAATTCTTTATTTGCATCATATTATTGCATCGTATTTGTTACAGTTTCGAAATGTTTTGTTCCCACCTGGTTATGAGAGAAAAACTTCACAATTTGAGCATTTAATATTTTCCATAAATATAGTTTATAGATAAGGTATTTGAAATGATTTTTACATATGACATTTAGAAGTTTTTAAAATGAATTTAAGAAATGTTATTAAAACTTTAAATGTCTTCAGTAACCTAAAATAAACTTCGCAACACAGTAAATGTTTTTGTCTTCTTTCTTTGTTAACGCACAATGTTCGACAGTAGTATATAACTGAAGTGTCTGTAAAACTAGAACTTCTGAGTGTCTGCATCATGGGTCGAACAATGTCATTACTTCCGGTCGTGGAAAAAGCTATGCAATATTTTTTCCCATAGAAATGTTTCTCTCATATTGATGTAAGGTAGACTATAACCATGCAAACAAATCACAGGAAGCGCTGGCAAAAACAAGATCCAAACCAAAAAAACCCTTTGTCTCAAACATTACTATTTTATTACGAAAATTTCTTACTATATATGGTCAGTTGTGAATATTTAGTAATTTAGTAATTTACGCATAGAATGAAGAGACCCGGACCCTTTTTATTAAGGGGGGTAATTAATGTAAAATTAAATACTAAAAATTTGCATTGGTACTATTTAAAAATAATTATTACAGTTATATATAAGATTTGTAATTGAAAAGGTACACGTTTTTAGGATTTCTAGGCCAAAATCAACACTTTAACGGACAAAATGGTGTTTTAGCCAAATTCTGAGGTTTATTGTAAAGTTGTAAATAATAAACTTTAGGTATAAAATACAAATTTGAAAAAATTAGACATATATATGGTAGAAAACAACAAATAAAGATTGATATTTAAATGTCACTTTTTCTGAGAAATTGTTCTCTCCTATAGGTCAATTCTTGTCATAGTGAATACATCCTTTTGAAATAGCTATTATTGGGCATATAGATCACAGTCAAAGTCACAAGGTCATTGACCTTGGTGTCATTTCAAAGAACTTAATTAGTGGAATATGAATACCAAATATGAAGTCTCTTTTTGCTATGGTCAAAGGTTATGGTGAGTTTGAAAAAGCTATTTTTAGCATACAAGTCACAGTCAAGGTCGCAAGCTCATTGACCTAGGAGTCATTTGAAAGAGCTCAATTAGCGAAGTATGCATATCAAATACGAAGTCTCTATCTCTTATTGTTGAAAAGTTATGGCGAAGGTTGAAATTAACAACAGACAGACAGACAAACAGATAGGACAAAAACAACATCCCCCACATCTATCAATCTGGACGCTTAAAAATATATATCAATCCTGGAATCCATTTTTTGTTTGTATCATTTCATCTGTCCTTAAGCCTTTGGTGCAGGTGACAGAGCTAAAAATTTAATGAATGTACCAGAGAAAAGAATGTCATGTCTTTAATCCCAATAAACATCCCAAATTGGCTTTGTTGTTCTTTAGGTAAAGATTTTTTCATGTATATTCATTTGTAAAAAAAAATTGATAACCCATATTGCCCCCCCACCCCCAGAGGATCAGCATTTGAACAAACTTGAATCTACACTACCAGTGGGTGCTTCCATATCAAATGGGACAATCATCAAGAAACTCGATCTTCACCAATATCTAAAAACATTCCAGAATATAAGGACCGTAACTTTCATTTAAAAAAATACAAATTTGAACTTGATATGCAAGTCATCTTTATTAAATTAGCTTATTGTCTATTTGTATAAAGTCCAGAAAACTAATTACATATAATATGTATGATGGAACAATAGAATGAGTAACAGAAAGGAGTATCATTTTTTGCCTATTCCTTTTTATGACAGGGTCATTTCTTTTATTTAATTAGCACCACCAAAAGTGAAAGGTGAACTTTAAACATCTGCCATTTAAACAACATCATAAATCTTTTCAAAAGTGTAATTCTTTCATTCAATGATATTCATTCATTTCACTTTGAAGAAAAGTGGAAGAGATGAAGTTGATTCAAGGGAGTTGCTCAACATCAACAGCTGTTTTCTTATTTACTCTTCTTGAAGAATGGTTCTGAAAATAAATACAACAGAATATTCACAAATAAAGCCACCATTTGTTGGGTTTTTTTTTTTTGTTTTGTTTTGTTTTTGTTTTTGTCTGATTTCAAGCATTGTATTTGTTACTTTAATTTTTTTTGAACTTATATTGGTGATTACTATGCTTCCTATCAGTTTGTCTCAATATAACCCATTCCTTACTATTCTCGCATAGTGTTCTAAGGATTTATATAGCGTAAGCATACTATGCCGAAATAGTGCACGGACTTACCAACTGAATAAAATTCTTCAATGCTCACGCGGGGAATTGAACTCACAACCATAAGGTTGTAGTATTCCTCATAACAAAAGCCAGAAAAATATAGGCACCACCAGCAGTCACATGTTACAGGGAAGGACCAAAGCCATAAAAGAATCTATGCAGAGATGAATACCAATACCTGAAGCTTCGATGCAGGACCGAGTACAAGAATTGCTACAAACACTGCTCCGGAGACTTACCTATCGTCCTATGATGAAGCGTGCTATGTCCACTGCGGTTGGTTCCCTTATAAGCTGGTACCGAGGACAGTGCGGGATGTCCTGTCAACTTTATTCTCCAACTTCCTGTCATGGACTGAAAAGCAATATGTGGAAATCTTCAGTATTGCCTAGTGACTTTGAATGAAACAGAAAGTTGTAAGATTGTGAAAAAGTGGGGGGGGGGGTATTGATGCTGTTTATTTTAATTAAATGTGCAAAACCTGTATTTAACAGTTTAATACATATTTTGTGAATTTGCTTACATGTAATAATTGTTATGTATTTTTATGCACTAAATCCATTCAACTGTGTCAATGGGGAAAATGTGCATATGTAAAGTATGTATAATTGCAATGTGTAAAATGTGACATTTTTTTATAGGAGGGAGTCTGTCCTGACATGTATTTTTTTCATTATTTTATTTCTCTCAAGAAAATTATTTTAATCAATAATCTTGTTTTTCTTACCTGTCTGATGAACTCGACAAAGGTGACAGAGGTGAATGGTAGAAATACGGGTATTACGGGTGTCAAAACTCTCCGTTGATGACCAGACTGCATGCCCCACTGTATAACCTCCATTTTGGATCTTTAAAAGGGGAGACTACTCCGGAAATCAAAGAAATTGTAGTAAAAATGAGTAAGCTGATTTTGCTTTAGGTCTCACACAAGGAAATAATTTCACTATATGTTACTATATATATAGCCTTAATTAAATTAATTAATTAACTAGACGTTCAGCAGATAATTCATGAAATAAAAGTAAAGATTAATGCTTAGAAAAAAATTTGAAATCAGAAAAAATACCCCTTATCGGCTTTTAAGAAAGAAAATTGAGAGTAAACATACCTACCCCGAAATACACGTGGGTTTCAGATGTTGACAAACAGCCTATGCACCATCCAGGAAGTTGCATCACGCGCACCTAAAAAAGAGTTCCCTTTAATTTAGTGGCACAATTCTGCTAAAGATGATATTCCTAGTACATGAGTCCAAAATTAAAACTGTAGACCTAAAAAAAGTTGCCGAAAATGAAAAAAGAAAAAGAAATTGTCTCTATGTATATAGAACTTCATTTGACTAAGTTCATTTTGATTGGCTATTTCCTTGCGTAAGACCTTAAATGCTTTATTATAATAAGGTTAAAAAATGCATGCTTTGTGTAGAAGATTTAATATGGATAGGAAAGATACCCTCTAAACAATTCAGGGCTCTCACACCACTTTTTGGGACTGGGGCAGGGGCCGTTCAAATTGGGAAAATAACCATCATTTTGGGAAAAGTTGGATATCCAAAATTCATTTTTAAAAATCCTCAAATTTTGCTTTTCTAGCATTTTGTCATCTATTTAACTCTGGTTTTGAATACAGATGAAACATGGGTATGTAGGCTATTTATGAAAGTACATTAGCTTTGTCATTAGACTCATTACTATCTTTCAGTGTTGATATTGCGGTTATCTGTCTTTCTGAGTGACAGTCGCTAGTCACATTGTCCCGAATTTCCTCGATCACATGGACAAAGTTGCTTACCAATACAGCGCGAGACTGATCATGCCGAAGCGTGCATGGGTATGTTTCTACGTGCAGCTTACTAATATTTAAGTGAAATGTCTTTTTTTGAAACCAAAATGATGTTTTTTTGTTGAAACTACATAACAAGATACTCGGAACTCATAGTACACATTTCGGTAAAAACAATAACCTGGTTCCCCGAACCAGTTTACGAATGCATTTGGCGCGAACTAATAAAATAGTGGTACAGTTTCACTTTCATTTTCAAGTGTGTTTTGTTTGGGTTTTTTTTTTGCGATTAAGTTTCATGGACTTTTATTTTTTAATTAATATTTTGCTATGAAAATTGGGAAATTTACACCTCTCTTTTGGGAAAAAAGGTACCTTTTTTGCATTGGGAACGGGGCCGTTGAACGGCCCCAATTTTAGAGAATCGAAGCCCTGTCAATTCATAAAAATATTTTTGATCCATCAAGTCGCTCTACTGCTTTTTACCAGCAAAAGCAAAATTTACTTTTTTTTTCCAAAAGTAAAAATTATATTTTCACACAATTCTGTTCATCAGTTTTTCACTTTAATGAACGGTGTTGCCATGGTTTTAAAAATAGACATTTCTGTTAAATACTCTCAAAATGCTACTTCAAATACAGTTTTAGTCTGATTATAATATAATGGCATGCAAAGACTACACTAAGAACATAAAGAGACTTAATCAAGGATCATTATTCTATTTATTGCTGTTGAAAAGTTTCAATTCCCAATTGCTGTAAGTACAAACCAGTAGAGCTTCAGTCTTGACAGAGACCTCTGGTTTTTCTATGCAAGAATAATATGTAAAATTAATTATAAAGAAACAAAGGATGTATTTCAATGAATAACATGTGTTAAATTGAATGAAGAACATTTTAACAAAATGAATATTACAAGTAAACAAGCAAATTCAAAGAATTGTGGTCCCCTGCTTTCGGTGTCTTTTTGGGGGTTGAGATGTCATTTTTTATGACATTTTGTCTATAATATGAACGCCCTGTCATAAGTCATCTATTTAGAATATAGCACTAAACTCCAAGGGTAAGGTCAAAGGGTTACATGTAATGTTCTTGATATCCTATGAAAAGTCTTCTCGAAAGGATTACATATGTGAAGTATGAAAGCCCTAGCCGTTACCATTTAAAAGTTATGGTCAAGGTTAAAGTTTTCTCATAAGTACAAAAAATCTCCAAGGTCATGGTCAAAAGGTCAAGGTTGTTGGTATCAAATGAAAGGTCTTGCCAAGAAGAATAAATATATGAAAAATGAAAGTCCTGGTATCTACTAGTCAAAAGTTGTGGCCAAGGTCAAAAGTAGGCCAAACTTCAAGGTCCAAGGGGCAAAGTTATTGATATATAATGAAAGGTCTTCTCACAAGAATTATATACATGAAGTATGAAAGCCCTAGCCTTTACTAATCAAAAGTTATGGCCAAGGTTAAAGTTTTTTCCATAAGTATGGAAATCTCCAAGGTCAAAAGGTCAAAGTTGTTGGTATCCAATATAAGGTCTTGCTACAAAGAATACATATGAGAAATACGAAAGTCCTAGTACCTACCATTCAAAAGTTATGGCCAAAGTAAAAGTTAGGAATTTTTGTGTAAAAGTGGGTCAAACTCGAAGGTCAAGGTCAAAAGTTCAAATTTGGTGGTACCCAAAGAAAGGTCTTGTCACAAGAAATATAGATATGAAATATGAAAGTCATAGCTCCACTGAATCAAAAGTTATGGGCAAGGTTAAAGTTTTTGTGACGGACGGACAGACTGACGGACGGACAGACGAATGAGATTTAATGTCCCCTCGCTTTTGCGAAAGCGGGGGACAAAAAATTGTTTGGTATAAAAATCCACTTTGCAAGAGTTATCTTTCCTAATTACCCAAGACTCAAAACACAAAGCAACATTTGAGCATTACATATAAAATTAAGAACTAAGGTTTAAACTTTAGGAACATATAAACAAAAACAATAAAGACAAGTACATATATCAACAAAAATACTGTAAATAGTGCAAGTCAATTATTTCTTTCAACAAGGTTGTAGATTTCAACTTGAATTTCACCATACGTACATGTTGTCATTGGTAGAGATTGCCACTTTAGGCATGATATTCAACGTTGGACAGGAGAGAAAATCCGATCTAAATATCACTTGTTTAGCTATGATTTGGCTTTTGTTTTCATTGGTTTCTACTTAAAAACAACCTTCTTTGTTTATATAAAATGAATCCATTACTTTGATTCCATTGTATACTGTGAAATCAATAATTTTCGTGGGTGTCTAGTTTCGAGGCATGGAGAGACCCACAAATTTATGACAACCACAAAAATGTCAAAATTTCTGATGCATTATTACTTAACACATTTTCTAACCAAGAAATCAAATCCCCACAAACCAGTAATATTTCCTCAAACCTCGAAAATTTAACCCCCAAAAAAATGTGATTTCACTCATGTTTAGTCTATTTTTAAAGCTTTTAATATATGGGTCATATTATAAGGGAAACTGTACAATTTTTTGTGTAGTATATCATCAAAAGTGGTGTAACGAGCCTCCTTTCACATGCATGTTTGATGAAATATTTCATAAAATTTTCCTTTTCAGTTAAATACCTTTATATCTTGCAAATAAACCCTCTCAAAATACTGCAAGTTAGAAATATAAACCAGTGTATTCATCAAAACTTTATGTGGATATATTACCTTCAATTTGTAGATGTTTTTCTATCTTCAAAACATGTAGAGTTTACTGCATGGAAGTCTAATCATTGAAAATGGATGTGGAATCTAATCTTGATCTCAGTGAAGATTTCTAAACACAACCAAAAAAAAAAAAACCACAATCATTACCAACATATGATACACTTCATAAATCACATAACTTCAACACTATACTCTTCTTTAGGAAGAAATTCACTTTGTGTTAATTACTGATAAATTATTCATACTCATTTATATTAACGGTAATTAAATCATTCCAATAATATCATATGTTCTGTCAACTAATGAAAAGGTACCAAAAAATTTTTTCAATGAATGTAAAAAAGAGCTTAACTCATTATGAGGACCAGTGACTTTGAAATAAAGATTACTAGTATATGTGATAATAAACTAAATCCATTTTTCATCAAGGAAGATGACAGATAATTCCTGTTCAAAATAATGTCAACTCAAAATTAGTCTGAATCTTTATTTTTTTGAGTTCTCACATGAATTTCAACAGCTTCATGATAACTGAAAAACAATGATTTTTTGTGCACACAGGCTTCCAGAGAATCAGTAACATATACATGATCTAATGTTGTTCCACCCTCTGTTGTGTAAAACTGCACCAACTGCATAAATCCCATAGATTCTAAGAACGTTTGTATGGGTCCTTGAGCTTTAGCATCTTCATTCATGTCACCAATAATGATCAAGTTGCTAAAACGCTTCTTGTAAAATTCCACCACTTTTTGCAATGTGTCAAGAAAATTGTTTACAGGTAGTACACTCGGTCGGTAGAGTACAATGATTGCAATATCCTCCTCATGGATTTCTACAGTTAATCCCTCTATATTCTTGTATTCCAAAGGATTGATCAAGATTGTCTCATTGGTTTTCTTCTTGTACACTCCAACCCCACCACCTTTAGCTGCTTTTAGTCTTGTCACCACATTTTCACCATCATCATAACACTGGTTACGTGGAATGTAGTGAAAGTCAAAACCTGAAATTTCAATATCTTGAACATTCTCATGTTCTCTCAGCCAGGTTTCTGTTAAACACACAAAATCAGCTTTCATCAACCTGCTGTCACAATTCATCTCCTGAAAGTGTCCTCTCAAACTCTGTACATTAAACAAAAGAATTGTTTTGTAATTTTCAAACTTCGCTACATTGCATGTCAATTCTTCATCTAAACTGTATCTTTCCATTCTACTAAGTGCTAACTTCACATCTAAATCAGCATAAATTTTTTTCTGCAGGACACTTTCATCATTCGTCTCAATGAATAGACCATCTTTTGAAGTAACACGGCTGACTGCTACATATGCTTGACCAGGAGAGAAAGTCCGATCTAAGTTCACCACAACACTCTTGGCGGTCATGCCTTGAACTTTATGTGCTGTGCATGCCCATGACAGTTTCAGTGGAAATTGATGTCTGACAACACTCTTTATATTTTTCTCATTCATCTCTTCCTCCACTCTTTTAATTGGGACAATATTCCCTTTGGGTGTTTTCTTTCCTTGTATTTTACCAATACTTGAACTATCAAAAATGACTTCAACTACTTCTACTGCACGTGCAGGCTGTTCTCTTTTAAACACAAAATTTGAAATATATCCCATTGCACCATTCACTAGTCCATCCTCAACACATACATTTCGTGTCAGCATTACTCTTGCATTCACAGCCAAAAGTAAGGAAGCAGAGAGGCCATCAACTCGGGTACTAACCAAAGGTTTGTCACGTAAAGTTAATTTCCCTGTTGTCTTGTCTTTCTGATAATCATCAGCATGCACTTCAATTAATTCCTCACAATTCCCATGCAACATTTTAAGATTGAATTCATTTGCCTCTTGGTTTGTAGAATAAACATGAAGAACATCATCTGGTCCTTCTCTGATGCATTCCCGCAGTGTTTCTAATGCTTCGTCTGATAAGGGTTCTTCACTTGTTCGAATACGCAATGAATTCAGAACAGATGCAAATGCTTTATCTTCACGTTGTCGCATTATTTCATCTAATTCTACAATTTCAAAAAAATCTAGCCAGAAGTCAACTGGATATGAACCATTTTCTTTATACAACCTCTCATCTTTTCGTTGTTTAACAGGTGGAAGTTGATAAAAATCTCCAACTGCTATCACAGATACACCACCAAATGGTTCTTTACACTTCTTTATTTGGACAAGTCGTTCATGAATGTAATACAATAGTCTTTTGTACACCATGGAAACCTCATCAATGACCAAAATCTGCAAATGTTCTAATCTGGTTCTTATCCCGCTCAAACTTTGTTCCTTCAAGGGTTGATATGGAATTGGTAAAGCTTTTGTTAAAGAAAACACATGATGAATGGTATTTCCTCCAATATTGAATGCTGCTGTTCCAGTAAAAGCAGTGAGAATCACTGATACTGCATTTGGAGAAGGCAGTGATTTTTCAAAGAGACGAGATGCTTCATAGTGTATTGTCTTAATCAGATGGCTTTTCCCTGTCCCTGCTCCTCCAGTTATAAAAATGTGCATAGGTTTTACATTCTCTCCAGACATTTTCTTGACACACCATTCATGAACAGCATAAAAAATCAGCTTCTGTTTGTCATTCAAACTGCACAGTAAAGGAAGCATCTCTTTTCTGGTGCTTTGAGTTTCCCTTAAATGATATATAGCATCTTCAGAGCCACTACACTCAATTTCATTTGTGACCTCTGATTCTGTATTCTCCTGATTATTTCTTAATTTTTCATTCAAACATTCTCTTCGATTTAATTCTGTTTCTGGACATAAACTTGCCCATGCATCCTCTGGTTCACCAAGCATTTCTAATGCATCCTGGGCATTTTCAATATCATCCTCACTTTTTGAAAAGTAAACATGATTACTGTCCACTATGCTTTTTACTTTTTCTAAGTTTGTGTTTGGTTTCACTCTCACATGTCCACTCTCATAAAATGTCTGGTACAAATCAAATCCAGCTGGTCTCAACTGATTCAGATTCCAGTATGGAAGGAAAAGTTGTAGGAGACACTGATAATATTTCTCAGGTGCGTTATCTCGATGGAATCTTGGATATCGTATAACAGCAGGTTTGCCTCTACTTCTCTTTTGAATGAAACCTTTTCCATTTCTCAATTCATACACACCATCTTTTTTGCCCTTAGGAATCTCAGATTTACTAAGCACTCTGTACTCTGAACAGAATTCAGCAAGACACATTTTATGGAAAATGTTTAACTCAGGACGGTTTTCATACCTTTCCACAATATTTGTCATCCACATACTATTTTCTTCTTCATCATCATTGTCATCTGCATTTAAATCATTTTCACCAACCTCAATTTGCTGATTTTTTTTTATTTGTGCAAGAGGCTTACTCAGACGAGTTGGATTTTCCCCCACAGGAATGAAAATGACTTTTCTTGAACTTTCTTTCATCTTCAGATTGCACACCCTGTATACTGCTTCCTGTGCACTGACCTCTCTGTGATTTAGATAAGCTGATCCTACCCTCTTGATGGTATCATGTGCACTCAAATTTCCCTCTGCTGCTTCTATTTGAGTTTGCTTTAATAGCATTCCCATTTCCCTTTCAGACTTTGAAATGTACGATATAATGTAGACAATGCAGCTGAAAGGGTCTAATACATACTGTATATCCATATTTGCATCCCAGCTTTTGAGCAGGCATGGGTTGTACTGATTTGTCCACATTTCTGTTGGATTTCGTTTCAAAACAGCAGTTGCTTTTGAGGCCAATACTTTGTGTGCTTTTTCATACAATTCCTGTGATAAGTTAATATTGCTGAATATTTCCTCTGTTGTTTTACATGCATTAGCTTCATCCATTACTTCATTCCACACTTTCAACAAAATCTCCTTTGCCTGCACACTACCTAACTCACGACTTGACTCATCCACATTTTGTTCTAATTGTCTTGAAATGAATGTGCACTCTGATGGCGGTCTTGGAAAATTGAACCTACATTCTGTTCCTTTCTTCCTACATGATTTTGAGTGTGCTTTGCTGTGTTGTTGTACATCCAATACAATTTGTCTAAGTTCTTGGTCAGTGTCTTCTGATGGCAGACCACATGTGATATGCCTATCAATGAAATGACAAACAGTCTCCTCACTGTCCTCATCTAATTTTGGAGCATTCTCAACCCAGTACAAGCAGTGCATATGAGGAGAACCCCTCTGCTGAAACTCAACTCTTACAAAGTAATCTACAATGGTTCCTATGGGTTTTGCTGGTGACATTATTACATTTTTCTGGAATATATGGAACCTATGTTCAAACATTCTAGCAACAGTTACAGGATTGCTTCTTAGAATTTCACTTTTCTCAGACCAATCTAGATCAGAAGGATTTCTGCTGTCATTCATATGTAGCATAATTGAACCCAGTATTTCATTCCACCTGAATTCTGCTGCAGAAAAAGAACAAAACCATGTGGGGATTCCAAGTTGTCGAAGCATAGCAAAAAGATCTTTTTGTGTACTTGACCAATATGCAGGTGTTCCTCTAATTGGTTGCATAAATCGCATAGCCTCATCACTCTTAAGCAGTTTTGCAAGTACAACAGGATTCTGTAACATTTCTGTAGTGACTGGTATCCCTCCATCAAGTTTCGATACAGATTTCCGAATTGAAATTTGTGTTTTCTCAATAACCTGGTTCAATTCAGATAGGTACTGACAAAAGAAAATGTAATTGGTATCCTTTGCAAATCTGTTATCTGCATTCATCAGCCTGTTGTTAAAATACCGAGAAAGGGTTATCCTTACATCTCGACTCTCATTAAATGAAAATTTTCCAGTTGGAAATAAATGAGGAAATGTCTTTGCTTCATTGCCCTCCTCTTGCAACATTCTTACAGGATTCTGTCCTTCACCTGGAGCAAGATTATACACATCATCAAAGTAGTGATCTAGAACTTCTTGTGCAATATCTACAGGCTGTAAACAAGTATCTGTGGCAACTTCTTGAATTACACTGTTCTGTTCCTCAATTATTTCCTCACTGTCAAATGCTTCTGGCTGGCTAAATAAGGTACTTTGGTCATTATGCTTTTCCCATGTTGTGTTGATTTCGACACCA